CCAATATGTTTAGAACACAGTATACAAAGTACATGCGAGTGGCAAGAAAGGAACAGAGAAGGTGCTGTGCAGGGTCAGAGGAGGCAAGCAGTCACCCTGGGCTGGAGAGTGAGAAATCAGGAAGAGTTTCATGGAAGAGGTGGCAAGCAGGGTGCCATACTGGACATACATGGAGCGTCACAGTTTATAAGACTTATGCATACATTATTTTGATACACAATCTTATGGTAGCAAACCTTGGTGAGGTGGAGAAACAAGCACCAGCCCACTGCTGAGTGTATAGATGGATGCAACTTATCTGGGAAGCAATTTGACACTCTCAGAATGCAACATTCTAGGAATTTATGCTATAAACACACTGACACACACAGGCAGATGTACAGGAACAAGAGACTCACCATGAGAATTGTGGTTGTAGCAAAAGACCGAACACAGCCAAAGCGTTCATCCCCAGGGATCAGGTTCGCAAGTCACGGAACCCCGGAAGCCGTTATAAAGAGTAAGTTAGCTCGGTAGGTGTTGCTATTGAAACAATTTCCAAAATATAACCTTAAGTAAAACACAAAGCAAGACAAAGAATGGTATGTACAGTAGACTCTCATTTGTGTAACAACTGGGTGTGTGTGTTTTTACATGAACAGAAAGTTTCCAGAAGGACACACACAAAACTGTTAACAATGGTTGCTACTGGGAAGTAGATTGAGGGTCTGGAGTGGGATTAAAACATTTTCAATAATTGAGAAATGTATCATATAGCTAGAAGAGTAAATAAAACATGAACTACCTGAAAAGTAATTATGAAACATAGCAGACAATGTAAATTCTTGTACTCTGAATTTTATACCATTTGCATATGGTAATATGTTACTTTCCCTCTGTGAAGTGGTCTCTGTGAGGCAGACAAGAGCATCTTTCCCCCTCATTTTCTAAGGGCCCAGCAGGAGCAGGGTGCTCAGTGGGAGGCCTGGGTGTGCCAGGGACGGCAAGGAGAGTGTCTGGGCTGAAGGCAGCATGAAGCCGAGGAGGAGGAGCAGGAGCAGGAAGCCAGGCTCCATACTGAGCTGGGCTCACCAGGCCGAGTTTGGAGTCTGTTAGCTTTGGGGGACTTGTTAAATGTTTTGGGTAGTGACACCACTGGAGTCTTACGAAGAGGAAGTAAAATCAAATGCCCGGGACGGTCAGCAGGTCCCCTACCAAGCAGAGTAGGCTGGGCGAGGGGGGGGGAAGGGGCTTGTTCCCCTCTGTTGGACTCGAGAAACAAGGAGGGTAAGCGCTGGCTGCCTGGCCAGGGCTGTTGTAGCACTGCACTGACCGTGCTGAGTGCCTTGTTTCTGTCAGTCCTGACAACACGACCAGATGGGTTTGCTACCCCCACTTCACAGGGGAGGAGATGGTCTCGGAGAGAGCAGGTGACTGGCTAAAGCCACACATCTGGGAAACGGCAGGGTAGGATTGGACCCCACATTGGCCTGGTGACTCTGCTCTTCTCCCCTCTCACTCTCATTTTGTCTGACAGCGGCTAGTTATCAGGCAGACTTTCCTGCAGCTTACTCTGGGAGTTGGTATTTCTCTCGTCTTCCTGTGATGTTGGCTATGCCACTAAGATAAATGTGGAGAGCATGCCAAGGTAAATATGCGTGACATGGGAGGCCTGGGCTCTTCTTCGTCCCTTCACCTGCTCTCCATCAATCACAGAGGCCCTCCCTGTGCATGAGAAAAGTGCAGGGTGGTGGAGCAGTGTTTGAGAGCCGAACCTTACCCAAGCACAGCCTCTGGGGTGTGTGGGCTTGGGAATGAGACCCCTGGGTCTCTAACCCTGTGGTCCCCAGAGCGGCATCGGGCAGGCCTCTGCTCATGGCCGAGCTGTACTGGGTATCTGTACGCAGTGTGCAACTTCTGAGGAAAGGAAGGCGTTAATGACTTTGTTCCCACTCCTGCCCCCATGAAACACACCAGTTTTATTTTTCAGCCGTGCACATCCCACTGACGAGTGCTGTTTCCTGGTGTCTGACACAGACTCCGTAGCAAGTTTTGGCCAGGATCCCGCAAAAGGAAAGAAGCGGCAGATACTGCGGGGTGGCCTTGTCTCTGGACCATGACCCCTGGGCCTGCCCCATTTGTACAAAGGCAGGAGGGAGGGAAGAGCGTGGCCACTTTTACAGTCTTGGTCTGGTCATGTGCTGCTGGATGATGGCTGGGTTCAGGCAAGAGGCCTTATTGGTGATGGTGAAGGCCAGGCCGCAGCAGAGGCCTTCCCTTTCTGGGAGTTTGGTGGGAAGCACCAATGTAATAATCCTGATTTATCTCTCTCGCCAACCCCCAAACACAGCTCCAGTCCCCGACAAAAGTAATTCTCCCTTGGACAGTAACGTGTGGGAAACATGCCAGTTTGAGCCTGTGCTGTACATTCTTCTCCTGGACAGGACAGAGCGCAATGAATATTTCACCTTCATAATCTTGGCTGCGGTTGGGGGTTTGCGAGCTGTCTGAATCCAGTTTATCAGCAGGAATAAATGCCCTCAGACTTAGAAAGTGGGAAGCAGAACTTTGCTCTGTTGGGCTGATGATTTATGAAGGAACAGTGAGCTGGGAATGGACAAGGCGAGAGGAGGAGGGCAGGAAGACAAGTTTGTGGGACTCCACTCACAGCTATAAAAGCAGCAACATGTACTCTAACGAGAGATCAGATTCCAAGTTACATTTCCTTTCGTGAGGGCTGCGGCATCTGGCATCCATCACTTGGTAGGGACAGTGGAACTCTGTAGGGACTGAGCTGCCTTTGGGGTGTGTGGGAGGTTTGGGATGAGCCTGCAGTGGGCCCAGGGCTGAATCGGCGAAGCTCTGGCCTTGAGGTTGTGTGTCCCTTCCCTTGGCTGCCTATAGGACCTACCGTGCCTGGATTTCCACAGTCCCTTGGGCCTTGCCCTTCCACCGTCCAGCAGCTCCTGAAACTCTGTTCCCTCCACAAATCATCTCAGACTTAAGTCCATGTAGACCGTCCCTTCCCTTCACAATGACTACTTCAGGACCTCACGTGGCCCGGTCAAATCAATAGTTTTCCTACTTGTTCACGCCAACTTTTGTTTTATCTCTTGGACATCTGCAAGGTCACCCCCACTTCCCTGCAGGTAGAAGCTCAAAGAATAAGTGGTGTATTTGAGACCGTGGGATCAGAATCAGACTGCCTGGGCTGGCGTCGCAGCTCTGCTACTTGATAGTTGTGTGATTTGATTGAGTTTTTTTCTGCACCTGTCTTCTCATCTGTAATATAGGGACAATAATAGTGCAATTACACTCATCATTGGGAAAATTAAATGGAAGAGTAACTTAGCCCAGGACCTAGCACATGGCTACTCTTCATTCCATAGAGCCTCAATAGAACGATGACGATGATGGTGGTGATGGTGATACTAAGACAAGCATGGCTTTATAGTCACTAAAAAATATCGTGGACAAATAACTGTTTTAGATGGCAAAACTTTTTGCAGATTCTGTAACTTGGCTATCTTTTACTTTTTTGCATGGTTCTATGATAATTGGCACCAGACCCTCCTCTCGGCTCCTTCCTGGCACAGTGCAGTGAAAAGAGAGTGAGCTCTGGCGTCACACGGGCCTGGTCCTGAACTGTCACCATGGATAGATCACTAAATCTCTCTGAGCCTCAGTTTCCTCTTCTAGGAAATGAGAGTAATAACAGCTACTTTATATGACTGTGGGGCCGATTGAGTGAGAGAACTTGTACAGCTTGTGAGTATAGTAGAAACATTATGAGCACCCACTTACTAATTTCCTCCCCCATCCTTCCCTGTAAGGTTCTAGGCTCCATCTCTCTAAATCCTCTTTCTTTCCTAAGATCAGTTTGAGACCTGCGTCCTCCATAAATTCTCCCTGACTTGAATGGGTAAATTCCGTCCTTAGTAAATTTATAGCGTCAGGCAGGTCACCGAACTGGAGATGGCAGGTCTAACTGACCTGCCAGCCTGGCTGCCCTTGTTCTGGTTTTCATAACGCTGAAGTCGATAGACTTGTACAATTTGCCCAGAGGATGTAGACGTGATTTGGTTCCCAGCTAGAATGAAGACTCTTTGCAGGTGGTTTTCTGTCTCATCCACATGTGTGGATCTTGCTCCTAGCACAAGGCCTGACGAATAGTGGACCCGATAAGTGACTGTTGAATGAACAAAGGAATGAATGATGCTCTAGAAAGGCGGAAGAGACTCTTTACCCTTCAGAGAAAACTCCCAAACGCAGGCAGCCTCTTGCAGCTCTGTGAAGAAGCTCTCTCCCGGCACCAGCCTTGTGGTTGTGTCAGATGGGCTCCAGCCTCCGGAGTGTGGCTCTGTAAACAACAGGAGAAAAACAAAAGCTTTCTGATCAGCCTGTTCTGTTTGGATTGGCAGGAGGTTTCCTGTTGGAATTAGTGCCTCGGACCTGAATATCAGAGTCATTCCATATGAGAGGAAGGCTAGCTGGCTCAGCCTCCAGCGTTGATGTAGAGCATATGGGCCTGAGGTGCAACTTCAAGAGAGGAGGGGAGAAGGACACAGAGGGTCTGGCTGCATCTGGAACTTCCCCGGGCCTTCTCAGGTCATTCCCATTGGCCAGGCGTTCTAACCTGCCCCAGTGTTGTCAGGGGTCAGGAATAGCAGGTTCTAACGAGGGCTCTGTTACCAGCCAGCTGTGTGACCTTAAGTAAGTCACTGTACCTCCCTAGGTTTCAGTTTCCCCGTCTGTAAAGTGACAGGGTAGATTAGATGATCCCTAAGTCCCCTTCTCACTGCTCTATGAAATTTTTTGTTAGTCTGTAAGTTTCATCATATTCTAGCCAGGAAGCACTGACATTTTTGATGTATATTAAAGAGTTGGGGGAAGAGGGAGGGGATATTGAGAAACAGGGATAGAAAATGCACCGTGAAATGGACGCAGACTCCTTCCCGCTGGTCCTTTGCACTAACTCCTCTCTCTTTCTCCGTTTTTGCCTGTCCTTTGCTCACGCCCAGAGACGACCCTGTGGGAGGCGACTGTCTGCTACGGCGGAAGCCCGGGACACCCCTTCCTCGGGGAGCCTTTCCTTTCTCCTCTGGTGGCGAGGCTGATGCCTCCTCCCTGACTTGGTGAGGACTGAGTGAAGTGGGATATGTGCTGTGCCTTGGAAACCGTCAAATACTACCTAAAGGTAAGGAATGGCGATTACGGCAGGAAGCTGGTCCTGATGGGGACAACATCAGCAACAGCACTCGATCAGGTGGCCCCTTCCTTCCTTGAAGAGGTTTCAGTGCAAGGGATGTTTCTCCTGTTGTCTGTCAGGGGCCTGCCCTCTGGTTTTCCCTGCCCCTTTGAAACAGAAACTCCGCTGTCTGAGTCTTTATTTCTTTGCATGCTTTTCCACTGGAGCAGAGAAAGCATTTTCCATATGATTTGGCTTTTCCCACTTCACATGTGCAGCAGCATCGCCAGGTCTTAGAATGAGAAGAATTTTCTCTCAACCGTCGGAGCAGAGAGGTCCAGGAGGCTGTGCTGGGAGCAGAGGCCAGGAAGTGGGGGTTGGGACGTGTTCATCTTTCACGACAGGGTCAGAGGAGAGGGCACTGGTTCCTGGGTTACTGGTTTCACCGCACAGTAGGTGAGAGTTTGAAGGAACTCGGATAACGTGTAGTTCAGCCTCCCCCTTAGACCTGAAAGTTAGGGCCTTGCCTGAGCCACCCAGCTGGTTTAGAAAGGGGCAGGGGCAAGAATCTGTCTCCAGACTCATTTCTAGCGCTCTGTCTGGCATACCACGTAGGTCATTTTTCTTTCTTCTTCCTCCACTTGCTCCTTATTCCTCCCTTCACCTCTGTCCTTTTGCTTACCTTTCCTGAGCCTGTTTGATGTAACTCTCAGAATGGGAAAGTTTTCTGAGATTCTGGGGCAGGTAGGGTTGGGTGACCTCCTCAAAGCAGCTTGGGTGTGATCTCAGGGTGTCAGACCCCCAGGGAGCATCCAGGGCACCAGCTCACCGCATCGGCCTCTTTGCAGAGATCTTGGATATGTGGCAGCCAGACATCCCACCCACAAGCCCCATGGCTAAGGGGTCAGAGCCACCATGTGTGAACTGGGGTTCTGTGGTGGCAGGTGCCCACTGTCTCACTCCCCTTCCTTCGCTAATATGGAAGGAGGGCTTGTGTGTGCTGAACACCCCCACAACACAACCGTGGTCCAAGATCTCCCTCCCTGCACCCGACCTTTCCCATCCCTGCTGTCTTACCTCCCCTTAGGGCCATTCCAAAGCCACAGGGATGGGCCATGCAGCATCTACTTGGCAGCCATTTCCAGAATCACCCAGATAGCGCTGGCCCGAGTTCAAGTGCCCATTTCAGCCCAACACCACGTTGGCTCGTCTAGGGGAGTTCACCATGGGTAGATTTTGCCCTCTGGCAACAGCTGACTCTATTTATTCAGATGAGAACAATTTTCTCTCCGTTGCACTTTCAACAAGTTCGACCTCAAGGCCCCCCCGCTCTGCTGCCAAAAACAATAAAAGGCAGGAGGAGGCAGAGGGCGGGGGAGACCATCCACTCTAATTGAGCTGTCAGCTGAGCCCTGGGTTTCCTGGATCTGGGGTGTCTCATGGCCCAGATGGACCAGCCTGCAGCTAATGGGGCAGGGAGCTGCTTTATTTCCTAATCACTCTTAGAGATAACTGTGCTCAGTGCATGTGGGAGAGGCCTCTGTAGAAGAAGCTGCTGACCAGCTGCCCATTGCTGGTCTTCCTCCTGGGCTGGGTGGGAGCCGTCTCAGTAGGAAACCGATCTGTCACTGGCGGGGGGAGCATCACGGGGGCCTCAATGCTGTGTCTGTGATGTGCCAAAATGAACAAGTCACGATCAGTGTCCAGGAACCCTCAGAATCTGAGGCCCAGAGAGCAGCTCAGCCCTTGCCTGAGCAGGACTCCCTGTTTTTGGTAAGCTTTTCAGTCTTGTACAGTGACGGCCCTGGAGCAGGATTTTGGGGCTCAGAGTCCCCAAGGAGGAGAGTTCTGGAGTGTCATTTTCTTTGGCCTTCCATGGTCTAGGAGTTTCATGTGAAAAGACAAGTGTGTGTTGTGTGATGCTCTGATTGGACCTGGCCACTCTTTGGTGTTGAGGCCACATTGAGTGCAGGGCTGGAAAGCGGGGCTCATTCTGTACTGGGGCAATGGATGGCTTGGGATCCTATTAGGTGGGGGAGGAAGAAGGGAAGGGCAGTGAGCAGGTTCCTTCAAATGCCGAGGTAGCACGGAAACCAACATCACTATCATTTGAAAACAATTGATTCTTCCCAGCATGGTATTCCAGGCCCTCCACTCTCTGCCCTGCTTGCCCTCCCAACCCATACCATTCTCCTTGTCCTGCCTGCCATCCTCATCCAGATGCATCACTCCGTGAACATTCCTGGCACTTTAGGATGCTTCTGCTCTCTCTGCCCCTTCTGCCTCCACTGTCCTTTCCTCATTTGCCAACCACGTGCATAAGTCGAGACCTTGATTACACCCCACTTCTTCCCTCATTCCTTTGCACATCCCTCTGAGACCTCTCTGTTTCCTCTGGATTTTTTTAAGATTGGCCCTGACCTAACATCGGTTGCCAATCTGCCTCTTTTTTTTCTCTCCCCAAAGCCCCCCATACATAGTTGTATATCCTAGTTGTAAGTCCTTCTAGTTCTTCTATGTGAGATGCTGCCACAGCATGGCCTGATGAGTGGTGTGTAGGTCTGCGCCCAGGATCCAAACCAGCAAACCCTGGGCCACCAAAGTGGAGTGGACGAACTTAACCATTATGCTGCCGGGCCAGCCCCTCCTCTGGACTTTCTTTATCCCTCCCTTATTGCACCAAGGACAGTCTGTCTTATATCACTGGCTCATGAATGGTCTTGTCTCTTTCAGTAGATTGAGCTCCTTAAGAGAGATTTCCTGTTTGCTCATTGCTGTGTCTCCATATGGCCTAGCACAGGATCCTGGGAGTAGGTGTGAAGTAATTGCCTTTAGGGGTGGATCCTCCTGGGGCATGTACTAACATACATTTGCACGTAGCAGATAGCATGTTTACGGAGAGCACCACGAAGATGGAGTTCTTGCTCTTGTTATCTCTTAGTCTTGAACAGAGGGCTCCGATGGGGGCAAATATAGACATGAAAAGACTCCAGAGCTACAAGTTAGGGTTAGAAACATTGAATTTCAGAGCTGGGAGAGGTGTTAAGGATAATCTAGTCCAATCTCTTATTTTACAAATGAAGAAACTAAGGTTCCAAGAGGTGACTTGCTGACAGCCAGACAAGCAGTTAATGGCAGAGCTAAGCTTGCTGTGCTCTGACAATCTTTCCATCTATCTTGGGTTGTTGGAGAAGGCTTTTTACCAATGTTCCTGGGGTTTTCAGTGATAGTTCTGGATTCCCCCATGTTGTCCTGTCAGTCTCACCTGCCACGGTCTAGTTTGAAAATCCTGGGAAGCCTGCTCTAGGCTCCTCTGTGCTAAATCCTGGAGGGGAACCAACTTAAATTCAAAACACCACTTGCTGTGGAACCCCAAGTCCTTAGGCACCCTTCCCTCAGCACCACTGGATTCCTAGCTCTGTCTCCTGGGGGATGACCTTACAATGAATTTCAGACTGCAGTTGATGGGAAAAAAAAAAAGAAAATTGAGATGAAATTAAAAATAAATGAGAATAGCATACAGATGCATGGGGAGGGCAGATCTGGGAGCTGGGGCCCTGGGTTCTAAAAGGAAAAAGATGTTCTTCCCGTGAGAAAATCCTCTGCAGGCTTCAAATGAGCCTCTTGTGAGGGACAGGGTCTCCTATGTCCCCAGACTCCCTCCACTAAGAAAAGGAGAAGGTTCTGGACTGGAGCTTTCTCCAGATGTTGGGCTGAGAGAATTGGGCTCAGGCTTAGGGCTGGTGAATGAGGCATCTCAGAACAACCAGGAAGTTCTCTCAGAACATCTTCTGCAACTAGATTTAGAAACCAATTGGGGTAAAGGGGGAAGGCGCCAATATCCCCCTCCTCTTCCTAACTCCTCTACCTTCATCAGCCTCCCAAGCTCTGAAAAGAAGTGATTTCTAACTATCTCTTCCTTATCCGGGGCTCTGGAGAAAATAAGACAAACAGGGTCAGAAGGAGGGCAGCCCAGCCAGGCGAGTGTCCCAGCTGGGGATGAGCCAGTGGGGCCCTCTATCCAAGTCGGCCCGGGCTAGCGGCTTTCCACTCCTCCTCCGTCCTCCGTGAGGTGAGAGGGAAGCAGGGGGCCTGGGGGGCATTCTTTTGTGCCGCCCCAGCCTCAGCTCTCCCCCCTTCCCTGAAAAAAACTTAGTTGCGTAATTTGACTTCAGAGAACATCATTTTAACAGGCTAGGAAACTCAAAGACAGTCCTTTATCTGCAAACCAGGGACCTTCTTTGAGCACTTCCCAGCAATAGAGGTCAGAGCTGGCCAGAGGCAGAATGGCCAGAAGTCCAATGGCAATTTTCCTTGCGTCCCAGCTGTGAGTCGGGGCTTCCAGGTAGGGGCCGAGGGGATTGGATTTGCCATGTCCCCACATGGCTTTTGGCTGCAGAGCTCGGAGACTGTGCAGCCTTCAAACCCACTGCCAGGAGGAACTCTCTTCCACAATTCAGCTGGCTCAGGGCCCGATGGACCCGTCCAAGAAACCGCAGCCTGCGGACCACAGGAATGGTCAGACGTTGTGGTGTGGGCATTGTTTAATCAGAAGCATCTCTAGCATGAAGATGTTTCAAGATTTCTCCACAGTACAGGTCCACCTTGTATTTTGTCTTGACCCTGCTTACATTTTCTTGGAGCCACCAGCGTTTATTTCCCATCTCTCTGTGCTCAGAATGTAAACTCTCTTCGACCTACTAGGTATTTGAGGGGGGGCAGGATTTCCAGGATACCTGAGATTCAGAGGTCAGTACAAGGCATGGAAAAGGAGACCCTAAGGCTTTCGTGCCTTTGTGCAGTCAGACATTGAAGAAACTGTTTTATGTTCTGCTTTTTCCAATGGCTATGACACACAAGCTCTCTTCTTAATATATTTTTTTGGAGCCTGTATTGACTTCAGGCCTTGGATCCTTTGCCTGGATTTCTTTGGATTGGCTCTGGAAACCAAGCACAGGGAAGCGAGTGCTATTATTTTCCAAAGCCTGCCATGGACAAGGGCATGTTTT